GTGCTCGAACAATGTATTTTGCACTGCGTAACTATTACCCTTGACTCTTCGTGGTTTGCGATGCCTTTATCGCCTTTCTTTGATTCTGAGTCGCATTTTCTTGAATAAGTTTTGGAATCGGAACGGCCGTTTGGTGGAATGTTTGGGCTCGCTAATGCGGAGCCGTGCTCACGCTTGCGCTCGCCCAATCATAGACGTGCTAGCCTCGCCTCGTCGCCTAACCGAGGACGAGCGCAGGTTCGCCTTATCCGCGTAGTGCTCTGCCCAAACACCTTGGTCTTGGTGCCTTTGCCCACCGGTTCATTCTAAGGCATTCGCGCCGTGTACTAGCTTCTTTTTCCGGGATGAATAAGATATGACTCTGATTTTATGTCTTGTTTTTTAGTCATTATTTTGAGCGTGAACGTTTGACCTCCATCCGGGTATGGCCTGCGCTCGGCTTCCCTCCCAGGGAGGAGCGTCGAGTGCGGATGTTTGACCTTCGTCCGGGAAGAACATCCGGTTATGGTCTGTGCTCGGCCTTCCTCCTGAGGAGGAGGAGCGCCGAGCACGAGTGTTTGACCTCCATCTGGGAAGAACATCCAGGTAGGGTCTGCGCTAGGAGGAAGACCGAGCACGAGTGTTTGACCTTCATCCGGGAAGAACATCCGGGTATGGTCTGCGCTCGGCCTTCCTCCTGAGGGGGAGCGCCGAGCACGAGTGTTTGACCTCCATCCGGGAAGAACATCCGGGTATGGTCTGCGCTCGGTCTTCCTCCTGAGGAGGAGGGCCGAGGACGAGTGTTTGACCTTCATCCGGGAAGAACATCCGGGTATGGTCTGCGCTCGGCCTTCCTCCTAAGGGGGAGCGCCGAGCACGAGTGTTTGACCCTCATCCGGGAAGAACATCCGGGTATGGTCTGCGCTCGACCTTCCTCCTGAGGAGGAGCGCCGAGCACGCGTGTTCAAGCAAGCTCTTTTCGCAAAAAAAAAAACTTCCATTGAGCTCAACCGAAAAGATCTGCGGGTTCCCATTTTGGGGTCCGTGTACATCAGAAGTCTACTGATGAAACTTAACTAAGTTCTCGGCATTCCACGTTCTGGGCACGTCCCCTCCGCTCGGCGTCTGCAGGCGGAATGTTGAAGGTCCCACCACTTCTTTGATGATGTATGGGCCTTCGTAATTTTTGGCGAACTTTCCTCCTTCTAGGGGGCGACTCACTGCCCTCTTGCGCAGCACCCAATCTCCTTCAACGAACCCCCGCGCGCGCACGCGCCCATCATGGTAGCTCTTCACCTTCCTTCGGTAATTCTCCACCCGTATGAAGGCCGCTTCTCGTTTTTCATGTACGAGGTGGAGCTCGGCTGCCAGGGCTTCCTCATTGCGCTCGGGGTCAAAGACCTCTTCCCGGTGGGTTGCGATGGAGATCTTTGTGGGTGCCCTTGCCTCGAATCCGTAGCATAGAGCGAAAGGAGTTTCCCCAGTTGCCCTTCGGGGCGTGGTCCGGTAGGTCCATAAGATAT